TGGAGTCTGCCAGAAATGCATAACACCTGAAGAAGGTTGAGTGATCCTCAATGATATCCACTCAGGGACCTATGGTCACCATGCGTCCTCTCGGACCATTGTGGCCAAAGCATACCGAGCGAGATTTTACTGGCCTCGAGCAAATGAGATGGCACAAGAAATAGTCGACAAATGTGAAGGTTGTCAGTTCTACTCAAACATGTCTCACAAGCCTGTTCCAGGCCTGAAAACCATTCCACTCGTCTGGCCTTTTGCCGTCTGGGGATTAGATATGGTCGGACCTTTGAGAACTGGCAGGAGTGGATTCACTCATGTGCTTGTAGCAGTCGACAAGTTCACCAAGTGGATTGAAGCCAAACCTATCAAGAATCTCGATGCCGGTACTGCTGTCAGCTTCATCAGAGAGATAACATTCATATATGGTGTTCCACACGGCATCATCACTGACAATGGATCAAACTTCGATTCAGATGAGTTCAGAGCCTTCCGCGCTTCCCAAGGCACATGAGTCGATTATGCTTCAGTCACCCATCCCCATTTGAATGGACAAGCAGAAAGAGAAAATGGCCTGATTCTCAAAGGGTTGAAACCCCGACTGATGCGAGACCTCAAGCATGCAGTGGGTGGCTGGGTTGATGAACTTCCATCAGTTCTTTGGGGATTGAGGACAACTCCCAATCGGTCGACTGGCCGAACTCCATTCTTCTTGGTCTATGGAGCTGAAGCTATTCTACCGAGTGATTTGCTTCATAATGCACCATGAGTCGAGCTCTTCTCTGAAGATGAAGCAGAACAAGCTCGGCAAGATGCAGTCGACCTCCTAGAGGAGGAAAGAGAGATGGCCCTGATCCAGTCGACCATTTATCAGCAAGACTTGCGTCGATTCCACGCCAGAAATGTGAAAGGTCGAGCTTTTCAAGAGGGAGACTTGGTTCTTCGAGTGGATCAACAGAAACCACACAAGCTTGCTCCTGCTTGGGAAGGCCCCTTCATTGTCACCAGAGTGCTCCACAACGGAGCATACCACCTTTACGATGTCGAGCATAAGAAGGACGAGCCACGAGCTTGGAATGCGGAGTTGCTCCGCCCCTTTTACACTTAAGTACTCATTCGAATAAAATGTAATAAGAAATACCTTTGTAATTTGCGTATCAAAGACAAGAGCTTTACAGTCCTCGTAAACAATTGTTGTTGCTTTTATTTGCGTCTGAAATCCCCCAGTGGGTGACTTAGCTGCGAATCCGCTTCGCCTAAGTTTCAAAGAAAATCCAACCGAGTGGTGAGCAAGCCTCCCACTCGGGGGCTTAGCTGCGAATCTGTTTCGCCTAAGTTTAAAAAATCCAACCGAGTGGTGAGCAAGCCTCCCACTCGGGGGCTTAGCTGTGAATCCGTTTTGCCTAAGTTTAAAAATCCTACCGAGTGGTGAGCAAGCCTCCCACTCGGGGGCTTAGCTGCAGTCCAGTACTCGCCTAAGTTTAAAAAGTCCTACCGAGTGGTGAGCAATCCTCCCACTCGGGGGCTTAGCTGCAGTCCAGTACTCGCCTAAG